AACATCTGACGCCCGCGTGGCCCCGCGGGTCGGCGGGCCATTGGACTAACGCCCCAGCGGCCCTGCGCGGGTCGGCGGCACGCGCGCCCATGTCGGCACACCCTCACGCGTTTCGTGGCCCAAGGACAAACATCGCTCGGGTCCTGCGGGTCGGCGGATCACTGGACTCGCGCCCCATTGGCCCTGCGCGGGTCGGCGGCCCACGCGCTCGCGTCGGCACGCCCCTCGCGCGTTTCGTGGTCCGAGAGAAAGTCTGACGCCCTGGTGGCCCTGCGGGTCGGCGGATCATTTGACAAACGCCCCCGTTGCCCTGCGTGGGTCGGCGGCCCACGCGCCAATGTCGGCGTGCCCCTCGCGCGTTTCGCGCCCCCAGGGAAAATGTGACGCCCTCGTGGCCCTGCGGGTCGGCGGATCATTGGACTAACGTCCCAGCGGCCCTGCGTGGGTCGGCGGCCCCCGCGCCCATTTCGGCATGCCCCTCACGCGTTCCGTGTCCAAAGAGAGAATGCACGATGCCCTGGTGGCCCTGCGGGTCGGCGGATCACTGGGCTAACGCTCCAATGGCCCCGCGCGGGCCCCGCGGGCGCGACGACGACGACGACGACGACCGCGACGACGACCGCGGCGACGACGACGACGACGACGACGACGACCACGACGTCCACGACGACACACTGACGCACTGATGGCCTGCGCGGGTCGGCGGCCCACTCGCGCCCCACGTGGCCCCCCGCGGGGGCCTTGCGGAGCAGCGCGAGGCAGGGTACGGCGTAGCAGCAGGGCGGCATAGCACTGGCATGTCACGGCATAGCGGTTGGGGGCACGCCACGGAATCAATCGCTTCGCATTGCGGCCAGCCCGCTTGTCGCAGCATTGCATTCGCATTGCGTTGCGTGCCTCGGGATTGCCCTGCGTGGCTGCCAATCCCTCTGGTGCAGCGGTGCTATAATATTGGCGTGCATAGGACAGCATTGATTTGCATTGCATTGCGTGGGTCAGCACTGCCCTGCATTGCATCCCGTTTGCCCCAGCTGCTCCCCTAGGGGCCAGAAAACGTTTCCCTGTTTATTCGGAGAGTGCGGGATCCGATGTGTTTTCACGTGTCCAGACCCTCCCCCCAGAGGGGGTATCCAACGTGGTGGTGCTTAGCTGGGCCCATTTGTTTTCATTTGTCCAGACCACCCAAAGGGGGTATCTAGCATGGTGGTCACGAGCTGAAGCCATGTGTTTTCACGTGTCCACGGCGCCCATGGGGGTATCTAACATGGTGGCCACCACGTCCATTCGCAGCCATTTTGGCATAAACTTGAGTCGGCGTGGCGCCCCCATCCAGCGCCATGCCGCGGGGTCAGCGCCTTCGCCGCGGCCCAGCCGGCAGCGCGGACACGCCCGGCCTGCAGATGGCGATGGGCGCCTACGTCGGGGCCAACTTGGCCACGGACGAGATGGAGGACGGATGTCTCCTGAGGCTCTTCGACCTTGGAGAGTACATCAGCAGGGCGGGTCAGGCGAGCGGTAAGAACCCCCCGAAGCTCCGCACTCTGTCGAAAAAACGGCGAGGTGGTCAAGCTGCTCGCGAGGTTCAGCGCCCCGGGGGGCGGCAACGCGCAGCGCGACGAGCGGAGGCAGTGTTTTCGGGCCGTGCTCTCGGCTCGCAGTTCGAACGCCCACTTCGAGCAGAACGTCAACCAGGCGGCGGGCCTGCTGAGCAATGAGTTTCGGTTGATGACGGCGGGCGCGGGCGCACTCCTGTCCAGGAAGCACGCGTGCAAGAACCTCTTCGGCCTCCTGCCCGACCGCGTCAAGACGAACCTCGTGGGGCTCCTGAGCGACGCGGGGGCGGTCCGCGACCTGCGGCACCAGACGATCACGGAAGGCCCGGGGGGGGACTTCGACTTGGGCGGCGGCGACTTCTTCTTCGGCGGCGTCGGGAACGACGGCGCGGCCAAGGTGCAGCCGAAGACCGAGGCCGCGGCGGCGGTCGACGACGCGGCCGAGGTGCCGCCGAAGACTTGGGAAATACTTGATCCACGAGTTTAGTTGGGGCACCTTCGCGGCAATCGACTGCGATCGCACTGCGCTCTTGGCCACCTCGGACGGCGGGAGGGGGATAATCTTCAAAGAGATCGCTGGCGTTGGAACTTTCGGAGACAATAAGCAGACTTGCCACCGAGAGCTTATTGCATCCTGCAAACATCTACTCGGTGGCAAAGCGTTTGAGGCATCAGAGTGCAAGCTGCCCATGGTCGTCACGAGGGGCGAGGACATCGGACCACAACCAGTTACACATGGCTACGTCGACCCCCACGAGTGGTTCAGCTTCCCTTGCGCTAACTTCAGGGATTCGTGGACCACTCGTTTCTTGGGCCAGGGCCTGAGCGACGATAAATTGAAGACTTTCTGGGCTGGCATGCACCCTCGGGACCCCCGCAAGCCTAAGGACTACAACAAGCAGCACTTCTACACAAAAGCAATTCCGATTGGCTTGCATGGGGATGGGGCGCCAGTCACTCGGCATCTCGGGTTGATGTCGATCGGTTGTTTTTGGATGTTCGGTTCGGGGTCGACCGACGACGTCTTGACCTCGATATCCTGCTACTCCGGCGAGGTGGAGGTCGGCAATTTCCACGACTACGAGGGCGAGACTACAACATCCACGTCATGGTAACGAATCGTATGGAGCTTCAAGGATCTTCGGACTGGGAAGTTCTCTTGCAACGACTGGGAAGGCAACGATATTATCGGTGACAGCCGGTGCGGCAAGGACTTGGCCGACGGTTACTTCTGCGAGGTCATGTTGCTCAAGGGCGACATGGAGTTTCTCGTCAATCTCATCGGCGTCCCTGGGCACTGGAGCTCGAACCATCCATGCCTGGCGTTCGGAACGGGCTCGACGGCGCGGAACAACTGGGACCCTGGTGCACCATGGCGGGACACAGTATTCATGGACAAGATTACGTGGCGAGCGCACTGTGTGAAGACGAAGAAGGACGTGCACGGCTTTTTTCGGGAGCTTGACGACGGCGGTCGAGGCTTGCACCCGTTCATAAGGATGCGCAACACCATGCGCGCGCTGGACCTCGGCGGCGCCTTGCACGTCGCTGACCACACACTGTTTCACATGTGCTACAGCGGCGTGATCATGACAGGCGACCCCGCGGGGGCATGCGCGTGGATCTGGAAGGAGGTGCCCCGAGTCTACAAGGTTGAGAACACCCCCCCTCGCTTCTCATATCTGGACCTGACTGTCTCCACGAATCCAGAGAAGCCGATGGAGGGGGCGCCGCTGCTAGAGGGCCACGCCGCGGAGACCGGGCACCTGATTCCAGTGCCCGACAAGATTTTCAAGGTGAAGCACAAGCCAGCGAACCAAAATGAAAGTCTCATCAACAAGATGCTCAGCAGCCTCACGATGATCCACAGGTACCTCGAGACCAGTGACGAGGACGGGCAGCGGCCATTCTTTCTCGACAACGCGTTCGTCGTGACCCCGTTGCGGCAGCACATCGGCTTCTCCTTGATGGCCTACCAGGCCTACCAAGACATGGGGAGCATGCTGCATGACAGGGCGGATGTTTGGCATGAGGTCCCGAAGTTCCGCGGCCTCTGGCACGCGGGTCTCGCGGCGCAGTTCATGGACCCCGACGTGGCCAAGTGCTACATCAACTAGGACTTTCAGATGCGGATGAAAAAGGGTAGGGGCGTCGGTTCGGTGTGGGTCAATTGCTGCCAAGCGTTCAATCAAGATTTGTAGGAAATGGGTGCGCGGTACCCTCTTTAAGATTCTGTTCGGTTGCTCGCAGGCCCCTGTCCGTTAATGGTCGGTCCATCGCAGCCGAGCGTCTTCCCAGAGCGCGTCCAGGGCCCCCCAGGCCAGCCCAGGGGAGCCCCGTCCAGGATCCCCGAGACCCCCCCAGCGACAGCAACATTGTGAAACATTTTATGCGCGCAGCGCTTATCCAGGTAACATCCAGTGAAATGGTATCGGTCACGTGTGGGAAATATGGTAGAATGTGGTGTTGCTGATTTCAATGTTTGGTAACAGGTTGTAAACGTGTTCATTGGTTTCTCACGTTTTGGTAGCATGATGTTAAGATATTACCACTCGGGGCATCTGGGTTATAACATGTCAACAAAATGTTCCACGCGCGCCGATAACATTTTGCAAAATGCTGCACCGATGACAGAACGACACTGTAACATTTTACAAAATGTTCCGACGAGCATCGCAGTACACAGTAACATTTTAACGACATGTTGAGTTTGGTCGCCAGGTGGCCGAGCTGCCCCCCCCCCCATGCCGCGAGCTCGCTGCGCGGCCTGGCAGGCGGGGTGGGCGGCCGAACCGATTGGCGAACAGGCCAGACATTTTGTTAAAATGTTTCGGTGCCCCCAGTTTGCGCCTGCTCGCCCGTCGCTTGTCTGGCCCCCGTGCCCTGCCAAACGTTGCGCTGGCGAGCGTTTTTCGGGTCTGGCAGCTTTCTGCAAGCCCCTCGCGCCAGGCTCCGTCGCCCCCGCGGCGCTGGGGGCGCCCCGCCCGCTGGCGGGCCAAAGTCGCCCGAGGCAGGAACGCCCTCCGCCGACAATCGCACCGGCATTGAGGGGCCAGCATCGCACCCGTGCAAAACAACAAAAAAAACATGCGAGGATGCAAAATCACCAAAAACACCGGTGCCAAACAGCAGAAACATACGAGGTGGCAAAAAACAGCGGTGCCAGAGCAAATTCAACAAAACCAACGCACAACAAATCATCTCTCGGATGATGTCTGCCAGCGCGGGCCCTAAACGGCCTCAGCCACCCTGGACATTCTGCGCCATATTTGCCCGACGACAAAACCGCATAGGTTTTCGAGCCCTTGGGGCCCGGCGCTCTCGGTCTGGGGGCTCACGGGGTCCATTTCGACGCCCATTCGTGCCTGCGGCGGTTTCGGATCAAGTCGGCACTCGATCAGTTAGTTCGGCCCCCGCCCGTTCGCCCCCGCCACCGCGAGCCGCAGCATGGCGCCCAAAGCGCCCGCGCTCAGGAGGCCCGCTGCGGCGCCCCCGATCACCCCGACGAAGAAGACGGTGAGGATCACGAAGACGCCCGTCGAGCTCGGGAAGCCCGCCGCCGTCGACGCTGGCTCACCGCGTCCGACCGACGTGGAGGTCGACGGGCAGATCGTGCAGATCACGCCGTCGGACCACAAGGCTTTCCTTCAAGAGAAGAGCAGTGAGGACCCCGCTATCCTCGAGGATGCCCGTGCCAAGGCCGACCTCGGCTATGGCAAGGGGAAGCAGCTGCAGCTCAACAAGCGGATTGCGGCCTGGAAGCTGAACGGGTGGGACCACCCGATGTTCAAGGAGGTCATCAAGTATTCGGAGAGCATGCCGACGAAGCAGCGCAAGGTCGGCATGGGCTACGTGAAGGCGAAGCAGTATTGGGGGGGTCCGACTGCGCTGAAGGAGGCCATCGAGAGCAAGGAGTGCGTCTTCAAGAAGATCGACGGCAGGGATTGGCATTTCGATTCCGCGATCTTGGCAGACCTGACGAAGGAGCTGAAGGGCGACAAGGAGCTGCAGGTCGGGGGCACCATCGAGCTCGACAGCTTGGGCCCTGCCCCCCCTGCAGAGGTTCACGGGCGATGCGATTGCGGGCTTTTACTTGGGCGGCGACGCCGAGCTCTCGGATGACATGATGAGGGGGCTCGATGACGACGCGCGCCGCAGCCAGCAGCGCAATCGCAATCCTGATGACGACGACGCCGAGAAGAGGGACTTCGACGCGGCGGTGGATCGGGCCCGCAACGCGCTCAAGAACACGCAGGGCCTTCGCAACAAGAGCACCGAGCTCGAGGGGGACGCCAACGCGGGCTCGGCCGCCCGCAAGAGCAACGTCAAGAAAACCATCGAGAAGGGCAAGGAGATCGACGAGTTGATCAAGGGGTACCAGGACCTCGCCAGGACCAAAGCTCTCCCAGGCCTTCGCAAGACGACGGCGGAGTGCAACCGCAAGAAGTTCAGGGCGGACAGCAAGATCGGGAACAAGATCGTGGCGATGATCCTTGCGGTCCAGGAGCTGGGCGATTGAGGCTGCGTCAAGGCACGCGCCACCATCGGCACCGCCAGCTCGACGGCCACGTCGCCAGCTACGTCGGTTCCTCGCGATCGGCATCGCTGGGCAATGGTTTTGCGCAGGCTGTTGCCTCCCGCTTTCAAGTAGCGCTCAGTCTGCGAAGGTTTGGATTGCCTCTGTTGCGTGTGGAAGCGTGCGGCGCGCGGCACAGTTCGGCTCGCGATTTAGCAACGTCGGTGTAACAAACAGCAACAACGAACCAACAACAATCAACGTAGGACTGTTCGCTCTCGCAAGGTGGCGCGTTAACCAACATGTATAGCCCATGCCTTCGATGTTCGCCCCAATGCGCCAACACTGCTGCAACGCGTCCTCGCGTCTGATGGGGTTGAACAGTTGCCGCGCCAACCCCGAGGCCCCCTTGCGCTTTTTTTTTTTTCTTTTTTTTTTTTTTTTTTTTTTTTTTTTTTTTTTTTTTTTTTTTTTTTTTTTTTTTTTTTTTTTTTTTTTTTTTTTTTCTGGAGACACCCTTGGCCACCGCCACTCCGACGCCCCATGGCTGCCGCCGCGCCGACGCCCTTTGGCGGCCGCCACTCCGACGCCTCTTGGATACCATCGCGTTGACGCCTAAGATGCGCCGCGGCGGGGTACCCACCGGCTACCGCCACCCCGTCGCGCCCTGGATCCTGCCACCCCGACAACATCTGGCTACTGCCACTCCGACGCACCTTGGATGCCGTCACTCCGACGCCAAATATGCATCACAGATGTTGCAATGCACCCACCGACGAGGGGATCCTGTGGCCACCGCCAGTCCGACGCCCCCTTCCCAAGATTCCGCCAACTCCAGGACGACCCAAAAAGAGGCAGAAGGGTTACCTTAGACACGGCGAGGAAACGGGCTTGGTCGGATCGGACGTTGGAACGAATGTGAAAATGCGAACCCAGGAACTCAGATCCGGGAGAATGCGAAAACACAAGAGCGCCCAGGTGTCGCCAATATGGCCGAAAGGCAACCCCCATGCGGTCCAAGAGGCCCCGAGACGACCCAAGGGCGCTCCAAGACGGCTCAGGGTGGCTTTAAGGCGGCCCAAGAGGCTTCCAGCGCGCCCCTAAAAGGCTTCCCCACTAGGACATCCAAGAGGCCACTGTCTGCAGACATGCGCTTTCCCAAAACCCACCCCCAAGGACCCGTAAGAAGTGTGTGCGTGTGTGTGTGTGTGTGTGTGTGTGTGTGTGTGTGTGTGTGTGTGTGTGTGTGTGTGTGTGTGTGTGTGTGTGTGTGTGTGTGTGTGCGTGCGTGCGTGCGTGCGTGCGTGCGTGCGTGCGTGCGTGCGTGCGTGCGTGCGTGCGTGCGCGTGCGTGTGGGGGTCTTGTGGAGGCCTTCTGGGAGGCCCACGCGTAGGGAGCAGAATCAGCGGCGGGAAACACACGAACACTCCAGTGCCAGCAACGACGAGGGAGTTACACCCTCCATTGTGGTTCAAGCGACCCGCTGGTGCCTTTATTGGCCATCCATCTACATACATACACGCCTACTGGTGCAACTCCTACATGCATACACGCCTACTGGTGCAACCCCCGGCCATCATGGTGCAGCTCTCGGCCATCATGGCGCAGCTCTCGGCCGTGGCGCGGCTCTCGCCCATCATGGTGCAGCTCTCGGCAGATCGTGTCCATCGCGGTGCAGCTCAGCCCGCGCCGACGCGTCAACGGGTGTCCGAGGATGCATGCCGAGTGCTCGCGGCAGCGGCATCCGCGGCGTGCACGGCAGCGCCGCCGCCCAACAACTCTGGCGGCGCGTCGGGCAGCGACGGGGTCGACGGCGTAGGCGGCTCGGTGGGCAGCGGCTTGGCCGACGGCACGGTCGACGCGCCGGGCCGCGGCGCCATCGACTTTGACGAGGATTCGAGCGATACGATCCAGGAGATTGACATGGCTGTCAACGATGGCGGTGCTGCTGGCTCGCAGCTGGACGGCATCGTGGACATCATCGGGATCGCAACCTACGGCGGCGCGGTCGTGCCCGACGGCGGCCGCCAGCCACGCGCGCAGCAGCGGCGGCCGCCCAGCGGCCACCAGCCCTTCGTCGTGATCTTGCCGTGCGTGCCCCACGCGGGGTGCGCCCGCATGACAGCGCTGCCGCCCCGTGGCGGCGGCGGCGCAAGCGGGTCTCAGAATGCGCCGCGGACGCCGCCCATGCCTCCGCCGCCAGGGGCGCCGACAATGCCTCCGCCGAACGACAGTCATCAGCCTTATGACGGCGACCAGCCGAGCACGCAGATGCCGCCCAGCGGCAGCCAGGACGACCCGCCGAACGCGCAGACGCCGCCCAACAGCAGCCAGCTGCTGGATGACGACGACCAACCGAACACGCAGATGCCGCTCCCTGACAGTCAGGGCGACTACCCGCCCGACACGCAGATGCCGCTCTACGGCAGCCGGGGCGACGACCAGCCGAACACGCAGATGCCGCTCTACGGCAGCCAGGACGACGACCAGCCCACCGCGCTGC